TCCAGCGGGGCCCCCGGCGGGGCCAGCAGCCTCCCTCGCCGCTCCAGCAGAGGCAGTGTTGGGGACCACGCGCCTGGCAAAGGGCTTGCCAGGAACCACGCAGCGTCAGCCGAGCCCCGCGTCCTGGGGATGGGCACCAGGGGAGCTGTGGGGACGCATGAGCGCATCCCTGTGCATGTCCAGGCTCATGCCATGCTCCCAGGCATTGTACTCTCCTGGCAGCTCCTGGCACAGCCGCCTGCTCAGCCGGTTTTTCAGCCCAGGCTGGGGTGTCTCAGCTGGGGCCTGTTGCTGCGTGTGTCGTCGCTGTTGCACACACACATGCTGCAAATGCGACCGTGCAGCTGAACCCTCAGCATGGGCCCTTGTGCCCTTCTACGTGACACTGGCGATTGCACGGCTGTGTCCCCCTTCTCCTCTCTGTCCCCTCCCTGCCGCAGCCTGTCTGGGGGACTGCCATGTCCCTGCTCCCCTGAACGGTCCCAGGGCCAAACCCTGCTTTGTTTTCTGGCTGTGAGGACCTAAGCCCACTGCTGGGACTGAGCAGGAAGGGTGCCTGCACAACTGACCGGCAGTGGGAGCAGGGTAAACACTCACCTGACAGAGCCCTGGGGAGGTGAGAGCCCCTCTGCCATGGCCCCTGGCTGTGCTGCCCCCTGCGCCCCACACTGCGTGGGTGCGGGTGCACACGCAGATCCCCATGTACAGCGCGTGTGTGTGTGTGCACGTGTCCCCGTTTGCTGAGGGGGTGCACAGATCCCTGTGCACGTGGTGTGTGTGTGTGTGTGTGCACACTCGGGTGTGTACAGATCCCTGCACAGTGTGTGTGTGTGCGCGCACAAGTGCATGCACACTCGGGTGTGTACAGATCCCTGTGTAGTGTGTCTGTGTGTGCATGGAGGTGTGTTTATGGATCCCTGTGCAAAGTGTGCGTGCGTGCGTGCCAAACTCTGTGCACAGCGTGTGCGTGTGTTTGCGCGCGCCCATCCGCTGTTCCTCGGCCGCGGTGGATCCCGACAGATCTCGCTGCATCCTGTTCCCGG